CACACACACACACACACACACACATAGACATTGATGGAGACAAATGCATATTGCTAATCAATTTATCAATACAGATGCATGTGTTGGCTTGTTGAGCTGGTAGCGACAGCTTCAGCTTGCAATCAGCGTTGCGTGCCACATGTGGCATCAATTAGGGGTTGTATATGATAAATCACAATCACACACACACACACACACACACCCATACATCCGCACATTTACAGACTACCTGGGCAAGTGTTAATTAAAATGGTTTAACTGTTAATTGACCCAGCCCACGCACACGTCCTTGCCCCTTGCCCCTCGCCTCTCGCCCCTCACCCAGCCCAACAAGAAACACAACTCACTCGCATTTGCCTGCATGACGAACTGTTTGGCTAGGCGCTGATTCGATTGGTTCGACAGCTCTTCCGCTCTTTATTTACAGCTGCAGCTACATAGCAGCCGCAGCCGTCGAGCTTAATTGTTTAAGTGCCTAAGTGCTTTTCCAGGTTAATTAGCTTTACATGCGAACAACTTTGCTTGGCTTTTGCGCATTTTGCTAAAAAAAAAAAAAAAAAATATGTAACTTAAAACTTAAGTCTTGGCCTAATTGTATGTATTTTGTATGTATCATGTATCATGTATGTATTATTATATTATTTAGGTTAATTTATCACACATTCACATCACGCTAGACTACGTATTTACTTACATATATATCTTTAACTTATCGCTAATACCTCTTGATGAACATTTTTGTATTTTGTATATTTATGCTGAATATATTCACTAATTTCATTTGTGTTCTCTCTCTTCTTCGTTTGTTTTTTCGATTCGACTTTCCTTTGTTTTCTGTGTCTCTCTCTCTATGTTACTTGTTGCCAACAATTCAAAAAACAAAACAATCAATTGACAACAACAACAAACAACAACTGCAACTACAACAAAAATGTCTGCTAACCCAAATAAAAAAAAACAAATTCAACCAACTACAAATGCATCAATCAACAATGCGAATCATTCAAATTAATCATTCAAAATGAACAAATAAAATCAATTACTAATACTGAATTGCGTTCATAATGGATAAATATCATCACAATTATTATATACAACAATAATAATAACAACAACAATAATAATAATGATCATAAATGTGCACAATTGCCAAAAAGATGGATGTTAAAACGGTTGGTTCATTTTACTATGAAAACTTCGTAAGTACTCCAAAGCCAATAAGAAAACGTAACYTACCAAATAAATGAACAACTATCTCCATCCAGTATTATCACAATACTACAATATATATATATATACACCACATGATAATGAACTACATATAAATACAATAACTAACATTCTTACATCGCAAGCTGTGTTTCTTCGAGTGCGCAGAGACAGGAATTTATCGATCAGTCAGGAAATTTATCGCTCATTTCGATAGCATATTCGATCATTCAATTATTTGTATTATTAGTTGATTCGTTTTGGTAATAATACCTTATTACCTTATATATTTCAAAAGATTGAATTAAACAAAGAAATATTTAATTTACTATAATCAGATTTGTATTTAATGTAAAGGAGAGTATAGATCACGAAGCGAAAGAAGGCTTAAAGACAATTTTGAGACAGACAGAAACAATTATATGTAGAGAGCCCAGCAGAATATTGCATAGGCTTGCTTTTGTGTAGGAGTAAATGAGAGCTACTTTACTAAGTGAGGAAGGGAACGAAACGGAACTGAAAACGAACACTTATATAAAGAGTGCTACTGAGCGTTGAGCTGCTGTGCCAAGCAACTCAATACAGTAGAATTAAAATAAAATCCTGATTTGGCAGAGAGCAGAGAGAGCTGTGGTGAGAGAAGAAGGGTGTTATATACATAGCTGATCACTGAATGAGTTTTTATGAGTTAATAAGAGTTGTTCCATGTTATCAAACGAAGAGAATGGCAAAGATGGAATAAATTGGACACTTAATCATAAATTTCGGATCTGCTGATAAAAAGTCGTTGTTAAAATTTTTAACATATTTTATTTAATTTAT